ATATCAGGCAGAGCCTCACAGTACAGCCCTGCACAGCCTCTCAAGATCCTGATCAAGGTAAAACAGCGGCAGTCACACGGATTCAACTCTGCAACATGTGCCTCGCACGCTCGCGCCACCGTGCATCAGGACCCGCGCCGACCTCTGCCGACGCCCCAGCCTCAGTACTCGGCACTCAGCCTAGTTCTGAGCCCTTGCCTTCCGATAGCCAGGCTATAGTACTCTGGCCATCGGCGCCTCGCCTCGGCCCAAGCAATACGGGGTCACTTCGTGCTCGCACGCAAGCCGGCAGCCATGACGGATCTCAGCTCCCCGGAGAAACCTAGGAGCGACTCCAGCCAGGACATAAGCACATTACGATCATGGACGGAGGTACACTCAAGGCGATCCCCGTCTCCTTCGAAAGGGGGACAGCCTCTGACTACGGTGGAGCCTCTGCCGACGGAGCCGGTGCCTCCAGCCGCCCACACGGAAGCCCTCTCTGCCTCGCCTCTGAATTTAGCAACGAGGGCGTCGCAGCAGGACAGCTCCTCTCAGGTGGTATGCATAGCCAAGAGATTCCGGACAAGGAGCCAAAGTCGCCAGCCTCACCTATCCCTTCAGTCTGCCTGCGCTTCAACTCAGGTTCCTACGGTCAGCCCAGCCGCCGCCTCCCACGCATGCTGTGCCTTCCCCGAAACCTCAGCCAAGGCCTCTTCAACCAAAGCCGCAGGGGACGCTGAGGCCGACCTCGCCGTTCTCCGTCGCCTCTATCAAGAGGCCCAGGATGCCTTGGGATCCCCCAGAAGCCGCAGCACAGGGTAGAGATATGCTACTCCGGACGCGAGCCAAGGTCCCCGCAGTGCCCCACAAAGGAGGCTTAGCTCCAGCTTTCTTTGCTCCAGTACCTAGGTGGTGCGACAGCCTCTTGGGCCCCGCCCTGCCTAAGCCACACCCTATGTTCAGACCGCCGCCGGCACACAGGCAACAGAGAGTTCCAGTGAGCTTCTCGGTCCAGGACCTGCCCGCTAACAAGGCCAGACAGGACAAGAAGCCTAGGCTCGGCCACGCACCTCGGGCCCCAGCCCCGGCACAGCCAGGCCCACTTCTCAGAGAACACCAGGAGTCCGCGCGTAAGGCGGCTTGTGCCTTACAATGGCGCCAGCTACTGGAGATCCTCGGGCCGGAGAGCAGCTCCCTTCAGATGCACTTGATCAACTCAAAGCACCCGGAAGCCTTAGCAGATAAGAGCCTCTCGCCGTTTACAGCAGGAACAGTGGAAAGGTATCTCTCCTCCGTCCGCCAGTTCATTGACTACCTAGCCTTCCATTGCATCGAACTCGGGGCATTGACCACAGCGTCTGCTGGCAGACCAAGACTACACGCCAAAGCCAACCCTTCGCGGTCACACTCACGGGCCTTTCAGGCCGATCCGTCCAGAGCGTATGGGTTCTCCCCTTCCTGCGGGCGGTTCAAGCCGCCTGGATTCGGACAGAGACAGCCTATTTGCAGCCGCTAAACCCAGACTTCGTTTTGCCGACACTGACCAACCTAGGTGGTTCCAGCTCAGAGGACTCAGCATATCACAGGCCTATGTCATACAGCCAGGCCCTCAGCGCCATGCGTTTCGCTATGGGAGTCCCCTGGCAGCATTCCTCTCGGCCGGCCCCGGTATCACCAGAGGAGGCACTAGCCTTCACCCTACATAGCCTCAAAGTCTGCCTATTGTCGGCAGGAGCACAAGTGCGGGCAGCCGAGCAAGCTAGACAACATCAAGGACATCACAAAAGCCCCAGCGTCCAACTTTACAGCCGAGACGACACGATCATGGCGCTGGACCTACAAGCCCAGATAGCCCAAGCGTGCGCAGAGGGGTGGCGACCGACCCGCCCTATATTGCCCGAGGAGGACAGCCTCCAACTTTGGAACCGCCTTTCGAAGTCCCCAGGTCGACCCCGCCCAGCAGGTTCCCATTGGATTCGTTCGGCGCAGGCCTATCCCGATTCATTTACTCTAGAGAAGCCGAAATGGAGAAAGCCTCTCTACCGCAAGCCGAAGATGAAGTTCAGCCGATGAGCGACGAACCAGGTCAAGCTGCCTCGCCAGCCATACCAGACGACGACCACGAGGCCTTGATGGTGGCACGCTTTGCGGCGGAGAACGACTCCTCCTCGGAGTCCGATCAGCCCAAGGAGGCGAAGCCTTCAGAGCCTATAGCCTTCAGCCTTTTCAGGAACGGACCGTGGGGGTGCATACATGCTTGCCTGGAAGCCTCGGACAAAGCGGCATGTGGAGCAGCTCGTTCGGCGGCAGCCTTCAGCCCCACGGATCCGGATCCCACTTTCTTCTGCCGCAGAAAGGCCTGCGCGAAGCTACTGGACTCGTGGGAATGAGAAAAAAATTAGATGGGCGCAGCCTTTTGCAGCATACCAGTCGCCCTGAGCCAACACGGAGGGGTCCGTTCGACTACTCAGCCATCTTTCAAGGTAGCCACTTGCCCCCCGACAGCCATGTCTAACTCGCCAACCTCGGATCTGGCCAAGTTCCTTAAGGACAATGCCGTCCATGAAGTTCTCGCGCAAGCCCTGCCCTTAAAGGACTGGAGACGGTACAGGACCTGGCATATGCTTACCCCGACTTGGCCAGCCTTGATAGCCTCCTTTCCAGCCTCTCGGA